AGTTATCATGTCTCCTTGGCTCCTCTTGCTTGTGACAGTTTCTTGGACTTTCTTTGTTTTTGATAACCTTGACAGTTTTGAGGAATACTGTCAAATATCTTAGAGAATATCTTTTAATTTCAGTTTGCCTAACATTTTTCTCATGATTAGACAGAGCTTATGAGTATTCATAAAGACTCCAGAAGTAAAGTGGCATTCTTGTCACATTATCTAAAGATATATACAGTCATCCCTCAGTATCCACAGCGGACTGGTTCCAGGACCACTACAGATAGCAAAATCCACATATACTCAAGTCCTATAATGGGCCTTTGTGATCCCAAGGATATGAAAAGTCGGCCCTCTCTATACATGGGTTTTGATATCCTAAAAACACTGTATTTTCGATCCTGATTTTGTTAATGGATGGAGAACCCACCACCAGAGTGGACCGAATGTATTTGTTCAAAAAATCTGTGGTAAGTGGACCCATGCAGTTCAAACCTATGCTGTGTAAGGGTCAACTGCACTACCAACATGTCTCATCACCAAAGATGTTAACCTTGTTCATCTGGCTAAGGTACTGCTTGTCAGGTTTCTCCATTGTGAAGTAGTTCATCCCTTCCCCTCTTTCCATATTAATCTCTGTGGAAGAAAGTCATTATGTCTACCCACATTTAAGGAGTGGGGAGTTATATCCTTCCAAACCTTTTTACAAAACTTTTAAAATATAATCTTCTCCAAAGCCTACAATGTACAAATGTTATACTACTGTTACAGATTTAAAAAACTGAGACTTAAGGAACCTATTTAAGGTTACAAAGCTAAAAAGTGCTAAGTTTAGGAAGCAAACGAAAGCTATCTGAATCCTAGCTTAGTATTCTTTTCATTATGACATACTGAATTGCAAGGGCACAAATTATATACTAACAGGTAAATTTCAAGCTCTATCTTATTCAACCACCGATAGTTTCCCAGGCACTTCTATTTCATCCAACAGTTTCCTGTTTCTTTGGTCATTATTGCCCTTTCTTATTAACTCACTCCACTTTTACTCCTAGACCAAAGCCATACTATTTTTCTCAGTTTTCTTTGTCCTTGAGAAACAAAATTATTTCAAACTGGTTCTCAGAAACATCTTTCCACATCTCTGAACCTGTCCTATAGAAACTGCCTGAACTAGCTTCTGCAGTAATTTGGTATAATTAATGAAAAAGGCACTAGACATTAGTTTTATTTTTAAAGGGGGGGGGGAGTGGAACTCAGCCTCTGGAGTTAGGAAGTTCTAAGACAAAATTTCAATTCCATCACCACCACTTCAACCCTGGAAAAGTCATTCAACCTTCTTAAATGTGATTTTCATTATCTGTAATCTTAGAAACTAATCTGAAAACATTTTGTATATATAAAAGGTACCTATACAGTTTTCTATGCAATATCTCTAATATGGAAGCTCTATGGTTTACAGAATAGTCTACATAATTTAAAAACAGAAGCTTAAACATGAACTTAGAATTTTTCAAGTTCAGATTATATTGTACTTTTGATTAGAGAATATTGAGAGATCTGGTTAAATGAAGAATGGTAATTATAGATGCTTCTGACTAATGATGGGGTTATGTCTTGATAAACCCATCATTTTTGACTAAGTCAAAAAAACATTTAATACACCTAACCTACCCTACTTTATAGTTTATCTTAGCCTATCTTAAGCATGCTCCCAATACTTACACTAGCCTACAGTTAGGCAAAATCATCTGGCAACACAGTATACTGTAGAGTATTGATTCTTTACCCTCATGATTGTGTGGCTGATTGAGAGCTATAGCTCACTGTCACTGCCCAGCATCACAAGACAGTATCATACTGTACATTGCTAGCTCAGTAAAAAATAAAAATTAGAAGTATGGTTTCTACTGAATGTGTATAAATTCTACTGAATGTGTATCACTTTCACAACCACCATAAAGTCAAAAAATTATAAGTCAAACCATCTTAAGTTGGGGACCATCTGAGCTTTCAATGGTGCGCTGCTTTGAATAAACCACAGGCTTTCTTGAAAATGAGATATATTTTATACAATTCCTCTGTGAGACAAATAATCAGAAGAAAATTTCCCAAAAAGTCAAGGATATTATCAGCTCATCACATTCCTGTACTCACCGATACAATTAATAAAGGACTTGCTGAAAATCCCTGTCAGAGGGCTAACCACCTTTCTTCCTGAATCAGTTACAGTTCTTCATAAAGTAAGCAGCCCAGCTTTCGAAAGACAATTAATCTATTGTAGCACTCCAGACAAAAGCAAGAGAGAAGCGGAGAGAAAATTTCAACTGGAAAATATTTTGATGCAATTGACACAGATGACAACCTAAACTTACTCAACATGTCAAGTGTTGCAATCTGCACAAAAGCACATACATGTGCTAGTCCACACAAGCCAAAGGGAAATTTCAACTCTGAGTATAGTATATATCTTTTAATCTTTGTTTAGAAAAGATGCATAGGGGAAGCTAAAGGATTCTTTCCTAAACTTAGAGAAACAAATGTTTAAAATCTCCTATCAAAATATCTTGCAGATTTAAGGTAACTATCATTGTGAAAAGATTTTTAACATATCTAAAATACTTGTGTTTCCCAACTGGCTAGAAAATTACAGTGTATGCCTACTTTTTTCTGATCACCTGCAAAATATATGTAAGAGCTGTTATTTCAAAAGTTCAAAATAAATTATAACACTTAAATCCCTTAGAAAAAAAACATGTATGTTGAAACCAAAAGGCAACTTTTTATGTCTAGCAAGTTAAAACTAAAAAGACTATTTAGGAATATGAATTCCTAGCTTCTTTGACTTCATTTTCTCATATATAAGCTGGATGATATAACTACTTTAAATCTCCTCACAACCATTAATCAAACCAAAATGAAAAGACCGACACAAATCCTGGTAGAAGGCAAATAATTTTTTCATGTCCCCAACTTTTTATTTTGAAAAATTTTAAACATATAAGAAAGTTAAAAGAATAGTACAGGTTGAGTGTCCCTAATCTGAAAACCAGAAATTTGAAATGCTCCAAAATCGAAACTTTTGGAGTACCAACATGACACTCAAAGGAAATGCTCACTGGAGCATTTTGGCTTTCAAATTTTCAGATTAGAGATGCTCAACCAGGAAGTATAATGCAAATACTTCAAAATCTGAAAAACCCCAGATCTGAAACACTTCTGGTCCTAAGAGTTTAGGATAAAGGATACTCAACCTAAAAAATGAACACTCATTGTTCATTAAGTATATCCTCCACTCAGATTCAAAAAGTAAAAACTGTCAAATGACAGTACTATAGTGAATTAAAATTCACATTAAATAAAAATTAGTAACTTAAATATACAAAAATCTCTAAGTGTTATAAACTCAAGTAAGATAACTTCTTAACATCACTTATCTTTTCTGTGTATGACCTAAAAGAATTAAAAACTTAATGAAAAAGGTCAAATAAATTAACACTTGGCTGGTTATTTTACATGAACAGTGTCTAAGTTAAAGCTCTCAAAGAACCATTTATCATTTTCTCATAATGAAGAAAAACTAAAAGTAAAATTGTCTAAAATTATGAAAGGTTTTATATTAAAAAAGCATAATAAGTAAATTTCCAAGTAATCTTAGTACAGAAACCAGTCCAGGTAGCCTCTGTTACTGTTACCTTGGATCACAAAAAGAGTAAGATACTAGTTTCTAAGAAAATAAGTGTGCACTTCCTTGAGATTCAAGTCTAAATAACTGTGAGCTAGGTCCTCAACAAATAAGTTTTAGATTTCCAGTAGATAGAAAAAATTCTACAATTCTGAATATACAATTGTAGACTACATCTGGCAAGAAGAGTCAAATGGAGAATACAATAAAAATAATAGGATATGACAGTAAACATGATAAGAGGACAAGGACCAAAGAGAAATCAAGATGTCTTTGGAAATTTCAAAAGCACTTTTACTCCAACATTTAAAACTGCAATCTTTAAAATTGTAGTTGTGATTTGCCAGAATTGATTATGGTCCCCTGCCCATATTTTTACTCACCAATATCTCCCAGAAGAAAATATAATCAAAAATATACTGAAGACATTGATTCTTAAAGAACAGCTTAAACACATCTAAATATCATTCCATATAAATTTTAAATAAAGATGAAAGTTGATAAACTCCTCTCAAAAAAGTTTTATACTTTCAAACGACCAATGATTTCAATGTTCTAAGACAGAAAATGCATTTTGTTGTGCTAAAAATTCCCTGGTATCATCAAGTACCAGGAAGATTATCATATGCCTTTTTGAAATTAATTGATATTTAGGTTAGGTAGGTATTTTTGTGATATAGTCCACAGAAATGGATTTAAAGTTCTACAAATGTATATTTAGTAATTGGATATATCATAATATCACATAAAAATTAATAACAAAATTAACATCTGGTCCTAAAGGAAATGTAAAAACTTATATATCAAGTAAGATTATTCATCCCAAGTAACAGAAAGTAGAGCAATGAACAAATAAAACGTGTATATATATATAGTTCAGAATAAAAACAATGCACATATGTTTTCTGACTGGTAAAGTATTTTTAAAGAATCTAGTTTTGTCATAAAAAGTGTCTTATCTATTTGAAAATTCTAAGTATATAAATATTGAATTCACAACCATGCTTATAATTAAGTCTTGGTTAAGCAAAAGTCTTTAATGCAATTAAAAGACACAGAAACAAAAGAAAACTGCTTTCTGTTACACATGGGTATAAGAAATATTGAGAAGAAACTAAACAAGGCAGTCTTCTCATTGTCCACCATGATTTATTGATTACATGCACTAATTTATTTCTTATCTCTCTTCTCCCTATATTACATTGCTATCAACCTCAAATAAATAAATAAAAACCAGCTACTTCTTATGATGCCTTTGTATGTTCTCCTACAGGTGGGGGTGGAGGGAGGCCAGGAGAAAGAGTAACCATGAAAAAATTAAACACCTTACCTTTATAGCTAGAAAATTCAGTCCACTCTCATTGGCCAAAGCCTTTGCTATCATTGTTTTAGAACATCCAGGTGGCCCATACAGAAGAACTCCTTTAGGTGGCTGAATACCCATTCGGACAAAAGACTCTGGATGTTTCAAGGGCCACTCAACAGCCTGTTTCAATTTCAGTTTGATATTTTCTAGTCCTCCTATGTCTGACCAGGATACCTAAAAAACAAAACATTTTCTAAATATGGTTTTGCCAGAACAAACAGAGAACTTAAAAAGAAAGAAAAAACAATCAACAAAACTGTGAAGGGAAGAAAACCATTGATGAATTACAAAGATTCTTTTAAAAAAACTCCAAAAAATACCAAGAAATTAGGAGTACATAAAATGAAATGTAAACTGCATATTGCAAAAACACTTAAAATCAAAATATTTCTGCTTATAAGTCTTATATATTAATAAATGTTTAAATGATTGAACATATCATTAAGTCTATCCTTCTTAGAAGTTCTTAAAATTCAGGTTTCATCTGTCTGACAATAGTTAGTCAGTGACCCAAGGTCTCATCTACATATCTACTTTATTTTTTTTGGAGCAAAATTATTTCCACACATATTTTTTTTAGATCCTTATGGAATATATTATCTTTATATCTTTGGCATACATAAAGTATCCTCAAAATTTTGTTTCTTTTTCTCAATACCCCCAAAACAAGATAGTTCTTTATACATACCTCTTAAGTATGAACTGTTTATCAGATAATGTACACAGGAAACAGAAAAGAATGAGACATGAATCCACACTTTAAGAAACTTACAAACTAATAACAACCAGTAAAAGACATATAAATGGAAGGATACTAACTACAATAACAAAGAAAAAGAAAAAGGCTTTGGGAGTTCCTGGGAAGAAAAGATTACTTCCAGCTGGAAGGCAAATCTGAAAGCCAATTTTTGAAGGATGGATGAAATTCGGAAACGTTACAACAGGGGAACAGTCAGGTGGAGGCACAAAATGACAAAAGGATGAGAAGGAAAGAAGTATAAAGAGGATGACAGAAAAGATTTGAAAGAGAGAAACAAAGAAAAGTTGAAGCCATGCATCCCAGGGCCCTGAAGACAAGATATAGGAATGAGATGAAGGAGTTCAAGATAACACTTTGTAAATAATAAGTCTTTGAAGGTTTTTAATCTAGAAAGTGATATGGTCTGATCTGTGTTTCTGGAAGACTTCTCTGACAAGATTCATTAGAGAGGAGACAGAAAGCAGGGAGACCAATTAAGAAAACATTAAATACTGATATTAAATATTTAAACTAAATATTAAGATATTTAAAAATTAAATAAATAAATAGCAAGCAAGCAAGCTTGAACTAGGGTAACCATGTGCACATAATGAAGACATACCAGAAAGATACTGCAGAGCTATGGTTGAAGGTTCTAAGAACAGAATAAAAAAGAGGGAAACTTAAAGCTAAAGATTTCATGATGGACAGAATGAGGGAATATGGACCACACAAGAATACCGTTAGGAGGGAAAATAAATATGATAGATTTTTTTTGGATACACAGAGTTGGAACTTATGATATTCAAAATATCAAAAGTGAACACTTAAACCTATAATCCTAGCACTTTGGGAGGCCAAAAGTTTGAGACCAGCCCCTGAGCTACCCATGGCAAGACCTTGTCTCTCCAAAAAATATAAAAATTAGCCAGGTATGGTGGCTCAAGCCTGTTGTCCCAGCCACTTGGAAGATGAGGCAGGAAGATCTCTTCATCCCAGGAGCTGGAGGTTGCAATAAGCTCTGATGATACCACTGTATTCTAGCCTAGGTAACAGAGCAAGACAGTGTCTCAAAAAAAAAAAAAAAAAAAAAAGTGAGCACTTGGAATATACGCAGAACAAATAGAACATGGAGCTCTGGAAAGATGACAGAATTGTAATTTTATATTTCAAGATAACCTCATACAACCAAGAGAAGAGAGGTGCAGATCAAAGACAGAGCATTAGGCATGCCTACATTTAAGATGTAGAAGAGGAAGAAGCAGGAAGAAATGCCAGATAACAGATAATTTACAAATCCAAAGGAGAAGAGAGGGTTTTGCTTGTTAATATGAGGAAAAGATTACTTTTTTCATATGAACTTACGTGGTTTAGTGGGGGGATTTTGTTGTTTTTGTTTTCTGTTCACAGATCCAGAAGAATGTTATATTATCAACCATAATCCTGAGATCAGATTTATTTAATTTTTCTAAGTTGCTTTCTTGAGATTTTAAGAAGTAAGATTACTGGATTATAGAGACGACTCATACCTTAAAATAATCAAATCTATTTATGACAAACCCATGGCCAATATCATATTGAATGAGGAAAAATTGAAACCATTCCCACTTAGAACAGGAACTATACAAACTTGCCCACTATCTCCACTTCTACTCAACATAATGCTCAAAGTCCCTGCTACAGCAATTAGACAAGACAGGGGTATTAAGGGCATCCAAATGGGGGCAGATGAGATCAAACTCTCACTCTTTGCCAATGATATGATATTATATCTAGAAAACTCCAAGGATTCATCTAAGAGACTCCTAGAATTGATAAATGAATTCAGTAAAGTCTCACGTTACAAAATCAATACACACCAATCAGAGACATTCATATACACCAGTAACAGTTAAGCCGAAACTCAAATCAAAAACACAATACCTTTTACAATAGCCTCAAAGAAAATTAAATATCTATGAATATATTTAACAATAGATGTGAGAGACATATACAGGGATAACTACGAAACACTAAGAAAAGAAACTGTAGATTATGTAAACAGATGGAGAAATCTACCTTGCTCATGGATTGGTAGAATCAATATCGTTAAAATGTCCATACTACCTAAAGTGATTGACAGAATTAATGCAATCCCTATCAAAGTACCATCGTCATTCTTTACAGATCTGGAGAAAATAATGATACACTTTGTATGGACCAGAGAAGACCTCGTATAGCCAAAGCAATCTTAAGTAAAAAGAACAAACTGGGAGGTATCAGTCTACCAGACTTCAAACTGTACTACAAGGCTATAATAACTAAAACATCATGGTACTGGCACAAGAACAGAGACAAACCATCCACATCCAGTAATCTAATCTTTGACAAAGCAGACAAAAATACACATTGGGGAAATGAATCTCTTTTCAATAAATGGTGCTGGGAAAACTTGACAGCTACACGCAGAAGAATGAAACTGGATCCGGACTTCTCACCTCTCACAAAAATCAATTCAAGATGGAAAACAGACTTAAACCTAAGGCATGAAACCTTAAGAATTCTAGAAGATGTTGGGAAGATGCTTTCAGACATCGGCCTAGGCGAAGAATTTTTGTAGAAGACCCCAAAGCAATCACTGCAGCAATAAAAACAAATAAATGGGATCTAATCAAATTGAAAGGCTTTTGCACAGCCAAGGAAACTATCATTAGAGCAAATAGCCTACAGAATGGGAGAAACTATTTGCTCTCTACACATCCAATAAAGGTCCGATAACAAGAATCTATCTAGAACTTAAAAAAAAAAAATCAACATAAAAAAAATCAAACAACCCCATCAATAAATGGGCAAAGGAAACAAACAGAAACTTTTCAAAAGAAGACAGAATAATGGCCAGCAAACATATAAAAGAATGTTCAACATCTCTAATCATTAGAGAAATGCAAATCAAAACCACAATGAGATATCAACCCAAGTGAGATTGGCCTCTATCAAAAAATCCCCAAACAATAAATGCTGGCAAGGATGTGGAGAGATAGGAACACTCCTTCACTGCTGGTGACTGTAAATTACTGCAACCTCTGTAGAAAAGAATTTGGAGATACCTCAAAGAACTAAAAACAGAAATACCATTTGATCCAGCAATAGCACTATTAGGAATCTACCCAAAAGAGCAAAAGATATTCTATAAAAAAAGACATCTGTACCCGAATGTTTATGGCAGCACAATTCACTATTGCAAGCATGTGGAAACAACCCAAGTGCCCATCAATTCATAAGTGCATTATTAAAATTTGATATATGTATACAATGGAATAATACTCAATTATAAGAAACGACAGTGATCTACCACCTCTTATATTTTCCTGGATTGAGCTTGAGCCCATTATCCGAAGTGAGGTATCACATGATTGGAAGAATAGGCTCCATTTGTACTAGCCATCAAATTGGTACTAACACTATGGTGCTCACATGGTAGTAATATTCTCCAGGGATTAGGGGGTTGGGGGGAATAAACTCACAACTAAAGAACACGGTGAGCATTGTAGAGGGGAAGGGCATGCTTCTAACCCTTGCTTGGGTGAGGCAAAGACAAAAAAATGTAACCAAAATGTTTGTGCCCTCATAATACCCTGAAATTTAAAAAAAAAAAAAATTACTGATTAAAAGGCATGACTATTTACAGGTATCTTGTATAATGCCAGTTTGCTAACCCAACCATTTTCTCTATTTTAATGACACCAGCAATAAGTTTATAAGTTTCCCTTCAGCATCATCAGCCTAGGGTTTTATTTTGCCTTTCTTTTTTCTGATTTCTAATCTTACCAATTGATAAAATTAAAAATTAAACTCAAGACCAATATACGTGAGCTTAAGGGCCTCCTAATATCCAGCTATCACTGGCAGAATCAAATGTACTATTTACCAGAAGGTATAACTGGGCCTCCTTTAGGCAGAAGTGTAATAGAACTGCCATATCTTGATGGGTAGCTCCTGCTTGTACTCTCTGGTACCTTTAATCTTTTCTTTTTCTTTAATTTATAAATTTCATTTTGAAAAATTTGAGACATATACTCAATATAATGTCTATATACTCTGTCAAAATTTACCAATTTTAAATGTTTGCTACATTTGCTTTAGTATGTGCTTGTGTTCTTTCTACAACACACATATAGACAAATACTATATGCACACACATACTTTATCAATCTTTGAATTTTCTGTTGAACCTTTTAAAAGTAAGCTGCAGATATCATGTTCATTCTCTCTAAATACTTTAACATATCTCTCATAAAAATAAACATTCTAGTAAAGTTTTAAAGAGGTTAGTCTCAAACTAAATATAGAAAATTGGGAACAAATAGTTAGCAGATGTGTCAATAAGGTTACTGAATAAATGGTTTAATCAGATCAGTTTACATGTTATGCCTTTAGCAAGAGAATATACATATAT